TTCAAGAAACTTGGTGGCCAAAGAAACTTCAAAGAAAAAAGCCAAAGTAAAAACTCATGTGAATATCGTAACATGGGGGATTGAAAAGAATTGAAAAACCTTTATATATCAATATCCTTCTTACACTCGTCTCATGAGAGTAAACAAAAATTAGCTAGGGGTATAATTTATTACACGTCTCATGAGTAAACAAAAAACTAGGGGTATAATTTATTACACTCGGATTATTAAAGTATTAAATTTACGTGATATTTAATGATATTTTTATTCAGATTACATAATATATTTTCTTACGACTTAGGAGGTCGAAAAGTCTTCTGAAGATGTTGTTATAGTAGATTATGAAGCTCTTGCCAATGTTTCGGAAATATTACCGGCAATAGAGGTAAATTTCCATTTATAATTAATTCATTTATTTCCCCTCAACTGATAGATGATAACTAAAAGATTAAATAAAATTTATTTAGGAAGCATTCGGATCACATCCGCATTGCCTTGGGTTGCTGTTAGTTAAGAATTTACCAGCAGAATACCCGGAAATGCGTCTTCAATTATTACGCTTAGCTTCACTATTTGCTTCGCTTCCTGATGACATCAAAGAAAAATTTGTTGATGTGGAAAGTAAAATACTTTTATGGATGGAGTTGTGGCAAAGAATTAATGAATGGAAAACTTGGTAATTATTAATTATCCCGAGTATTCATAATGATTCAATCAATCCCCACAACAATAAATATAATATATACATATATATATTACAGATTTTCTCAAAGGGCAAATCCTCTTTTGGATGTACCAATTGCTACGAAAGAACAAATAGAAAAGTTCCCGTTCTATTGTCATCCTAATATATGGCCTACGGAGTATCTGCCGGAATTTGAGGACACATTTAAAAAACTTGGTATTTTTATAATTGAAGTCGGGAAAAAGTTGGCAAAATGTTGTGATGCTTCTGTTTGTTTATGTATTTTTTTTTGTTGAATTTCATTATCAACAATATTAATAAATAATTGATAATTTATAGTTAAGTCAGAATCAGCACCCAATTATTTAGAGAGAGTAATCACGGAATCACAAAAATCATAAAGCTCGCTTGTTTCTGTAAAAGATAATATACAGGATGATAGATTAGATACGTGGTGTGGTTGGCATATTGATAACTCTTGTCTGAGAGGTAATCAAATTATTTTGCAAACAGAAAAAGTTATCATCCGCGCTACAATGTATCCTATCCAAAGAAATATTTTTTAGGATTGACATCATCAATGTACATTGACGAACGTGACCGAAGTCTAGCAGAAAGCAAAAGTCCAGATTCAAATGCGGGACTATACGTGACTACAGAGACGATACCATTAAGCAGATCAATATCCCAAAAGATTGTTTAGCGTTTCAAATGGGAGAAGCGATGCAAATCGCATTTCATGGAGCTGTCATGGCAACTAAACATATGGTAAAAGGTATTTCTCGTAATATTGATAGAGCCAATAATGCTGGTGACGTGCCATTCGATGCTGTATCTCGAAATACATTTGCTTTTTTCATGCAGCCTTCGTTGGAGGAACGAGTCGGTAATGTTATTTTTGACGAGTTTAGTGGTAGAGTGGTTAATAGGCATTTTTATTAATGTGTATATGGTGGTTATAATTTTGTTGAATATAATTGTTGATCATTGTATAATAAAAATTAATGCTTGTTGAAATATTTAAAATGATTATAAGTATTATTATAACTTTATTTTATTTACAAATTTCACCAAGACAGTTTATAATAAAATATTACTATTTACAGTGGCAATTATAATTAATGTAATAATTGAATTTTTTACTAATTGTAATTAGTAAAATGCATGTTTTTCCTTATATAAAATTTTTTAATTTTACTAACAAATATATTTTTTATTTTTAGCTCAAAAAATAGCTAAAGTTCTCTAGTTTGACATATATTTTTTTCAGATTTTTTACTGAAAACTTTGTACAAATTGCATATAAAGTTAATTAATTTTTACTAATTATTAATTAATAAAAATTTATTTGATTTTATATATAATATGTACAGATTTCTGATAAAAATCTGAAAATTAACTATTTTTTTAAGCTAAAAAATAAAAAATATTTGTTAATAAAATTAAAAACTTTTATATAAGAAAAAATATATATTTTACTAATTATTATTAATAAAAAAATCCAGACTTATATTAATTATAATTATTATTATATAAAAATATATTATAATATAATAATAAATTATAATTATTTAAATAAAAATATCTTAATTCTATTTAATTAAAATAAATATATTTATATTTAATTTTTATTATATTTAAAATTAATTATAACTTAAATTTGAATTAAATTTTTAAATTTAATTCTAATTTAAGTTTAAATTTGAAATTTTTTTCTAATTCAAGTTTAATTCAATTTAAATTTAAATTTAAAATATAAGTTTAAATTAAAATTTAATTTAAGTTTAAGTTCATATTAGCTTAAATATTTTTTTTGAAATTTTAAAAATTATCAAATTTAACTTTCTAAAAGATATATGATATAACTTGAGTTTTGTAATCTATATATTACATCTAGAAATATATAATTAGTTAAGTAACTTGAATTTTGTGATCTATCTATTACTTAAATAACTTGAATTTTGCAATCTATCTATCATTTAAATAACTTGAATTTTGCAATTGACCCATCCCTCAAATAACTTGAGTTTTGTGAAATACATATTATAATCAAGTAAAAATAATCTAGATTAAGTAGAAATAATATAATTATATTATTTTTATTAAAGTTTTAATATTATAAATTAATAGTAATAATATTTAAAAGTTTTTTTAAAAAATTTTTATTTTAGTTTTTTTTAGAAAAATATTACTTTATAATAATAATCAAAAATAATAAATTAAGAACTAAATTTATTAATAAAATATCATAAAAATTATAATTTTCTTTATATTAAAATTTATAATTTTATTAAGAAATAATTTTAATTTCTATATCAAAAAAAGTTATTAGTTATAATTTAATATTTTTTTAAAAAGATTATTCTAATTATAAGATTAATATAAAAATTTTTACTAATTAAAAATAAAATTTAATTAATAAAAATTTTT